TAATACTGATACCTGGGCTTTATGCCCAGAGCTTCTGATTCCGTTGGTTTGAAGTAGAGCCAAGTCATTGGTATTTTGAAAAACCTTCCTGAGTGCTCTCAGTGTGTAGTCAGAGGAGAGAAGCCCAGAGCTAGATGATTTCGCAGATGCCCCCCAGGTCCGAGGTTCGGTGGTACTCCTCGGCACCTGCAGTGTTTGCCCAAGGAAGAAAGTTTAAGGATGCTAAAGACAGAAACAGTCATGCAAAGCAATCTAATCAAAGTGTGCATTATCTCAAATGGTGCAGAAAATGTCACTGCCAGTTAATATTTTGCACCCAACGTGATTTAGACCTGGGGCATATACTGTACTCCAAGCCCATTGTAAACACAATGGGCCATTTATTCACTGAACAGTAACCACCGTAATTACCTACAGGGCAAACATACGAGGTTGTTCAAGCAACAATTAATTGTGGACCTGGAACTAATGGGACAATAATGGTAAAGTATCAACCAGAGTGTGATTCAGAAATCACATCAGACAAACAATATTTTCCAAATTGTATGAGATAAGCATTTTTGGAGACGTGGTGGCATATGTAATGTCCTGGGTCCGGGAATAGTTACTCCTAGATTTTTCTAATAGCTCCTTCTTACACTGGTGAGTGGAGGAGGCTTGTGATATTGTTTGAATCTGAGAGAAGAATCATGGGCAGTAGTTTGGAGGGGTCTGTAGAGACCTTCCATCTCTTGCATTCACTGTGGACCTAAATGTCACCTATAGGCAGGTGTACGACCCTTGTTTGGACTGTAAGATCCTTTTATGAGTCTGATGAAAGCCATGGATTCTTTTTTTCCCCCAGATAAATGTGCATCTTTGCATGTACATACATGTCTATATAAATGTTTATATACAGCTTTTCAGGGGGTCAGATAGCTTGAAGCCCCTATGCCCTCACTAGGTTGTGGTCCAGCCTCCATTTGCACACTTCCAGACACAGGGGTCACACTACTTCGAATGACAGGCTTCCTATTGCTGGAGAACTCTGGATATTCAGCGTTTCCAGCTGAAATTTCCTCTCTGTAGATTCTTTGCTTTGGTCCTTACCTACCCAGAATGTTTTAAGTAGATGCTTTACTGCCTGTCCTGTAATCCAAAGTGCTTCTTACCAGAATTGGGGTGTCCCTGTTTCTGCAGGGATCTTAGAAAATTGGCTTCTAAAGTGCTCTCTAGCTCCAAGTCAGAGCTGATGGGCTGTGGTGACGTCCATTCCAACAGAGAGGATCTGTTGAGGCTGCTGAATGGACGAAGATCCAGGGCTCCTAGGTGGTGCTGTTTACTTTCTTAACCAGACCTAGGAAAGGACAAATTTCTACTCCCTCACGGACCCAAAGTCTTGGGGAGAAAAGTGCTTCTTTGCATTACAGGATAGGTGGTGAAGCATCTTCAGCTGGTATCTGAGGGTTTCAAGATGGTATTTCCCTGAGTGCTCAGATTGGGCTCTGGGATGTGTCAGATCTACAGGTTCTGCGGGAAAAACAAGAGTTCAGAGAGAAAATTGATGGCTGCAAACTTTGAGCTTGCTTCTGCCATATCCTCACTGGGTCAATGGATTAAATGAAATAAGAGGGAAGGAAAGAAAGGAGGAAGGAAAAAGATGAGAGGAAGAGGGGGGAGGGAGACAAGAAGGGCAGAAAGTTAGAAGAAACTATGGAGGGATTCTTTCATAATCTCAGAGTAGGAAAGTCCTTTTTAAAGATGACACAAAATCCAAAAATATCAAAGAAAACATGTTATAAATTCTATCACATTCAAAAAAAATTGTACATGGCATAAGACACTATAACCAGCATCAAAAGACAAAGTACAAATGGAGGGGCAATGTTTACACCACAAAGGGCTAATTTCCTTAACATAAAAGATCACTTCTGGGCTGCTGGACAGTGGCACAGTGGCAAAACACAACATTCCGCAAGGCTGACCGACATGGGAAGGTTCCAGTCTGGCATCCAGAGACCTCCCTGAGTCTGGACATGGGCAATCTCATGATCCAAAGCTGGCTGAGGTTGAGGGATGGGAGTTTCTGTCTCTGTCTCTCTCTCTGATGGAGAAAATAACACACTTAAAAAGAAAAGATCACTTCTACAAACTGATAGTGAAAACTAAGAGTCATCTTGGAAAATGGACAATGGATATGAACAGCTTCCAGAAAGGACTACAAATTGCTCTTAAACATAGGAAGAGGTACTCAACCTCTTTCATAATAAGATACATGCGAATCAGAACTAGAAGATACCTTTTTTTTTTCACCATCACACTGCAAAGATCAAAAAGTATGATAACCACCTTTTGTGGATGAGACTGAGGGAAAGGAGAGCAGAGATCAGAAGAAATGTTATGCAAGAGGTGACATTTCAGCTGGGCTTTGTAGGACAGATAATTAAAATCCAATTTAACAAGTTACTGACACTTAAAAGAGAAAGAGGAAATAATAAAGAGAAAGATGGACAGATTTGACTTCCAAGTGTAAATTAAAGTGCACACACACACACACACACACACACACACGCTGTAAAGGCAAACGACCAAGATATTTGCAGGAACTGTGATAACCTGGGCTTGATTACTATACATACAAAAAAATCTTGTTTAAACTAAGAAAAGCATTAGAATACTACCCAAAAAATAAACAAAGGACGTGAAAAAGCTATTATCCAAATAGAACGTATACTAGCTAATGACTATATGGAAAAAGGTTCAACATTATGTATAATTATAATGCAGTATGATTCAGTTTTTTTAGTAATAGATCATTACAAAATTAGATAGAAACATGTTTTATTTCTTCTGTACAATAATGTGATGAAATTTGCCATTTAATTATATCTGACTAGCAGATGTGCAAATTGATAAAATCCTTTTTGGAAATGTGGAACAAATCTTTAAAAGCTCCTATTTTTTATACCATAGATTAACCTACGGAAATATCTAGAAATACAGAGAGTAAAAGGGCCATGCACAAAGATGTCAGTAGAGAAATCTGACAAATTAAAAATAATCTACATGTGCCCTCATTAGAGATGATTCAGTAAATTTTGGTGGGTTTATATGCAAGAATATTATATAGTTATCAAAATGTTTACAAGGAAGGACCAGCAGGTGGTGTGGTGGCTAAGCCACTGGACTCCCACTTGGCCAACCATGATTGGAGTCCTGGACCTGGCAGCTTAAAAAATCATGCCAGGTGTGTGAGCATACATGCCCAAAATTCCAAGAGGAGAATGGAGGAGAAGGGATTGCTGTGTGGCCATCCCCCTGGGGGAGTGGCTTCTCATTTTCTCTCAGTGCCCTATGGCAAACAAACAAACAAATAAAAATTACAGTGTTTACAAAGATTCTTTATTAGAATGGATAAATGCTTGTAGGTTAATGTTAAGTGGGGAGAAACAGCTCGATTTTGTGTGTAGAATGATCTCAAGAATCTTTTTCAAAAATTTAAAAAATCCGGGGGCTGGGTGGGATGCAGTGGTAAACGCAATCCGGCAAGGCTGACACACGTGGGAAGGTTCTGGGTTTATGTCCGGAGAGCTCCCTGAGTATGCTGGCATGTCCACCCATGATCCCAGCTTCAGTAAAGCTGGGGGTTGATCATGGTGCTATCTCTTCATCTCTCTATCTCTCTTGCTCATAGGAGAAAAATAAATAAGCTTTTAAAAATATAAAAGCTTATTTTAGTAATTGGTAAATACAAATTAAGGAAAGAAATTTGCCTTTGGTAAATTCTTTTTCTTTAATGTTCTAAATTAAATTATTTGAATCTTTAACCGTGAACAATTGTATAAAAATCTTCAGTGCATCAAACAAGGATGAATGATAGAAAAACGATGACATCAACTTATGTTTACTATATCTTTCTCAAAGTTTTGTTTCCTTTACTATTTTTTAAATGCTTTACCCATTGCACAAAGGATTTGAGGTGATTTGCAAGATTGAAAGTCTTTCCCACAAACATGAGAAGAAATGATGTAAATGGTTGAATTATGCTTATATGCAAACAGGGCTTTCTAAAAGCCTACTGTGTAATGCTTTTTAAAAGTAGTTTTGACAGTCTTAAATGATAGAAAAATAATAATTAATATTCAAAATAGCATGCTATTTCCAAGCTTCTCAACTAAATGCTTAACTGCCCTTTCACAAAAATGTGGATTGTAGGCATGTCAGAGATAATGAATTAAAATTTCTTTTGCTCAGAACTTTGTGTATTTCATTCATAAGATTTACCCAGAACATGACTGTTGTTTTAATAAATATTGTGAAAGGAAAAAAAGAAATCAAATCACTATGCATAGAGAAAGGACCAGAAGGAAACTATAGACTAAAACATTTTTGGTGGTTCTTTGGGAAGGAAGCAGATTATTGGTTACTTTTTTCTTCTTCTTCCTTATTATGCATTTGTTTTTACCTCCCTAGTTTGCATGTTTTATCTTCTTTTGCATTTTTACCATCTTCTGCATTTTTCTACTTTCTTTTTGAGAAAGTAAAAGCTGTATTACTTTTACAATGAAAAGCTTTAAAAAGGTCTTGCCCCAGGGGTTTGTGCCCCAAGTCAGAATCAAAAGTCTCTAATCGGGACCAGCAGTTAGCATAATGGCTATGTCACTGGACTCCCATGTAGTCGACCACGGTTCGAATCCTAGACCCGGTGGCTTAAACTCACGCCTGGCACGTGTGCATGTGTGCCCAAGATCCGAGAGGAGAATGTTGGAGAAGGGATTGTGGAGTGGCCATCACCCCTGGGGGGTGATTTCTCACTTTCTGTCTCTCAGTCTCTCTCTGTCGTTCTGGCGAGCACATGCAGGCATTTAGGGGGCCAAGTCAAACCATAAAAAAAAAAAAAAAAAAAAAAAAAAACCGTCCAAAAAAAAAAAAAAAAAAGTCTCTAATCCATGAAGGGAGATGCCGGACTCACCGCTGAGAGGCTTATCTGTAAAACGTGTCGTTCCCATTGTGTTTTTCAGCTTTCCTTTGCTGCAACCACACCTGTTCTAGCTGACAAGAAAAAATACCCTTATTTCTTTCGGACTGTCCCTTCGGACAACGCGGTGAATCCAGCCATCCTCAAGTTGCTTAAGTACTACCAGTGGAAGCGCGTGGGCACGCTGACGCAGGACGTGCAGAGGTTCTCCGAGGTACGCCGCACTTGCGTGCGCACTTTCCCTCTTGCTGCTAGTCACTGCCATGTCCTAGCAAGGGGCCATGTGGCTTCATCGGGGTGGGTACTGTCATGGGGCTTTCAGCAAGGGTTTACTGGTGGGACCAGAGCTCTTTGACGATTGACAAAATAGAACTGGGAGCTGAGGAACTGATTGTGTGCAGGTCTGATGAAAACCTCCATGCTCTATTGATAACTAAGGCGGGGTGAGACCTTCCCTTTCATTGTTCCTCCTGGCTGCATTGTGTAGCTTATTCCCTCAATGCCAGGTAGGCTTGTCCTGTTACTGATGCTGTAGTGACGATCTAAAACCCAAATGTGTTGCTGGGAGGATTTCTGTTGTAAGGAGAGTTTGGAGGAAGAGCTGGCTTGGAACGAGACTCCTATGTCACCTGGGTTGGATGGGATGTTTTTGGTGAGTTTTTGTTCAATTTTTTCTCAATTTTTAATGACCTACAAATATACATTAAAACATGGTGTTTGGGTTTCTTTTTGTTGGTTTACTTTGCAAAAAAGCAATGCCAAGATCGATCGATCGATCATCTATCTATCTATCTATCTATCTATCTATCTATCTATCTATCTATCATCTATATTATCTATCTCTATATCTATCTATCATCTATATTATCTGTCTCTATATCTATCTATCTATCTATCTATCTATCTATCTATCTATCTATCTATCTATCTATCTATCATCTATCTATCTCTATTTATCTATCTATATCTTATCTATCTGGTAAAAAAGTGAGTGTTGCTTTGTCCCAAGATTCCAAAATTCTATTTTCTCTCTCATGGGAAATGTGCATGATGAAAAACTATGCAAGAATTTTAGTTTTTTTTTTTTTTTTTCCCATCAGAATAAGATCTATGCACTGGCTCTATGGTCTGATAGTTAAAGCAGCCAGATACCACACGGCTAACCGTGTGGTTCGAGTCCAGGACATGGAGGCTCATAAAACATGTCGGGCTCAATTTTGTGCTCTCTCCAAATCCTGACAGGAGGGAGAAATGGAGACGAAGGGATCGCGGTGTGACTATTCCCCAGGGGGAGATGTTCACCCCCTCCCCCTCTCTCTGTTTCTGGTGAGTGTATATGCCCTCTGGCAAAATTTAAAAAGAATACAAGAATAAGCTTCTATTTTAATTGTATTTTCCACTAATTTTGAGGTCCTCTCCTATATTTTGTTTTTGGCACTTTATAGCAGATCCTAGCGATCTGGATTGACTTCATGTTCTTTAATAAGGCACAATCTGTCAAATAGATTATCATAACTTATCACAATAGACCCCTATGAATGCTTATACCATTTTGATATCATGCCAACATCTTTGTACCTAGGCACGCCTCTTGGCAACAAAGTTTTAGAAATGGAATTCCTGGTCCATTTAAACTTTGGGAACTGACCTCCAAAATGGTTCTAATTTCTTTTTTTTTAAAGAATTTTAAAATTTAATTTAATTTACTCATGCATTTATTTTAATTTGACCAGAGAGAGACACAGAGCAAGAGAGAAAGAGAAAGTGAGAAAGCTAGCCACCAGGTCTAGGACTTGAACCATGGTTGACCATGTGGGAATGTCCAGCACCTTAACCACCACACCACCTACTGACCCCCAAAAGGTTCTAATTTCTAGTCTTACTAATGGGTGTTTGAGAATTCCCATTTTCATACATTCTTAGTAATGATTATTAGCAAAATTTTACAAAGTTTTCCCCAGTCAGCAACTTTTTCTTTTTTTTTTCTTTTTCTCTTCCTCCCCCCACTTGCTTTATAGCTCCCACTTTCCTTTCTATTCCCATGTGTGCTCTTGATATTTGAAGCTTCCAAAAAACCAAGACAATGCAGGTGCGCTTGGCAGTCTCAGAGAAACAAACTGTGAGCCATGTGGGGAGTCAGGTACCCATGTGTGAGTCAGGTGTCCAGGCAAACCTGAGTGGGAGGTGTGGGGGAGGACACACCTTTCATCATCATGAAAGTGGGAAAGCCTGGGTAGAAATGGCAAGAAAAAGGGGGACAGCAGGGCTGGGAATTGCCAGATCCAGTTTTAACTCTGACTCTGCACATTAGATGCGATTGCTCCAGAACGTCCCATGGGAAGGAGAGGCCACTGGACCCACTGGCTATGTGACCTTGGACAAATGACTTTACTTCTCTGAGCTGTGGTTTCCTACCCTATAAAATGGGGACAATAATCTTTCACATGCTTCCCTGAAGGGTATTTGCCAAAAATTCAGTAGATAATGGATTGGAAAGAGATTTGTAATCTGCAAAGTTCATGTAAAAGAGAGATGTGTTTGGAGGTGCTTGTGAAGTGGAAATTTTTGGCCCTCCCATTTGTGGGGCAAGCTTTTCCCAGGCAAGACTGTGCCTCATCCTCCCACCTCTCTTTCTCAGCCCCTAGGAAGAGACACAGAGGGAACTGGACCTCCAGCAGGAGTGACTCATTGCCAAAACTGAAGAGACTTTTGTTGGAAGACTGCCCTTGACAGAGCAGCCGGGATGTTCTATGATGAGTGGGAAACCGGCTGATGGAGGATGGGCGGCCGGCCTCAGGGCCCTGTTAACATGAGATTATGCAGAGAAATGAACGGCAATGCTCTTTTCTAATGGCAAATTTGACTGTGAGAGCCTAAGACACCTACCCCAACCTCCTCACTGTGCAAAAGGGGAAACCAAAGCCCATAAGGGGAAAGGGACAAAGTTTAAGGTTTCAGAGCACCTCTGAAGCCAACAAAGACTGTTTGCAGACAACTTAGGACTGAATCTTGAGGTCCTGACCTCCAGTCAACACTTCCTATTGCCCCTTCTGTCCACCCTTCACTTCCTAGAGTCATATGGGGATTACCTGCCTGAAGCCTCAGAGGTGTGAAATTCCCACCTAAAGAGGATAAGTGATTAGCCCTCATGTTAGTTGTATAGTGCTTTATTGATTCCCAAACACTCTCCCGGGAGGAGTGATGGTTCCCATTCTACAGATGAGGAAACTGAGCTTTGCAGAGTGGTAGCTTCTTGCCCCAGGACACATGTTGGTAAAGAGCCCAATTGGAGCTGGAAGTCTGACGCTCTTGACTGTGGGTCAGTGTTTTCTCCACTCCACGGTCCCTGGGGGTCAGGTATTGACAGTTCAGTTCCACACCTCTGTCTCTGCACAGCTGGGGCCCTAAGCCCGAGTTTCAGGGCATCTCAGTGGGAAACCTCTTTTCTCCAGAACAGGATGTTGCTTGGTGGTATTGCTGGCAAGGACTCCTCTCGATTTAAATCTCTCAACCCAGCTGACTCCTCACTGTGCCCAAGGGCTTTGGCATCCCTCTCCCAGTGTCTGAGCTGCATGACTGGAGTGCAGGCCCTGGAAATTCGCCAGGGGCTAACAGCTTTTTGTGAGTGCAAAAGAAACTGGATTCCTTTTATGAAACCGGTCGATCAGCAGCATCAAGCACTTCTGTTCCAGACTGGTGCTCTAGCAGGCATGTCAAGTGAAAGCAATCCTGAAGTTGGAGAGGGCAGTGTGTGTGTTGGGGGGTGAGGGTGGGGGGCTAGATCCCATGGGTTTTCTGTGATATGGGACTCTTGGAGTGATAGAAAACTAGGGTGGGGGTGGGGTGGGGGAATAGGGATCCCACCTTGGTTTCAGCTGCTCCTGCAAACCCCCAGTCCTTGAGATGTAGAGTGAGTGTGTGATGCCCGTCAGGCTGCTTGGGACCAGACCAGAGTACTGATTTCTAGTTTTGCAAGGGATGGCTGTGTGGCCCCAGGCAGTTGGGGCTGACTGGGGATGTATCAGATCTAGAGCTGCTGCAGGGACAACTAAAAGTCTGTGGAGAAAATTGGTAGTTGAAAGGACTCAGCAGGCTTCAGCCATGACCTCTTGGGATCAAAGATGTAAATGAGGTGAAAGAAAGAAGAAGGGTGATTTCTAAGCCCAGCTCTGCTAAGCGGTGGCTGTGTGACCCCACACATTCACCTTACCTTGCAGAGATCTAGCTTCTCCCTATGTAAGATGGAGATGTCCCTTCCTACCTCGTAGGAACTGGGAGATGAGAGCATTAGATGAGAGCATTAGATGAGAACACGTAAGTGAAAAGATCTCAGCATTGTCTACATTTAATGTAGGTGATCATTAAATGGCCATTCCCAACTCCAGTAATTAATGGGACAAACTCTAGGAATGCGTGCCCATTCTCTCAGAAACTATGGTGCTGGTCAGGGATGGACCCTGTCCTGTGGAGGACCAGAGACAAACGGACATGGCCTTGGGCTAGTAAGTTGTCAGGTTTCCTGTGTTGGGCTCTTAACTCTGGCTGCCTGTTAGAATCATCGTGGGAATTTTTTTTAAAGTTTATTTATTTATTTCTTCTAGGAGAGAGAGGAAAAGAGAGGAACTCCCCAAAGAGAGAAAGACAGGTACCCTCCGCAGATACTACTGCAGTCCATCTCCAGCCTCAGCCAGCTCAGATCATGGGCACACACACACACACACACACACACACACACACACATCTTACATAGCAAGGCCTTAGGGCCTGAACCCAGGACCTTTTCACATGGGTCCAGCCTCATAGAGCATTACAGTACCGCTGTGCCACCATCTAGGCCAGCTCTGTCTTTAATTTTACTGAAAGGAAGATAAAGAGATTTCCCATAGAGCTGCTGCCCCACATGTGCATAGCCTCCCTCCCATTACCCACAGCCCCCACCAGAGTGGTACGTTTATTACAACTGATGAACCGCCATTGGCACTTCATTATCATTCGAAGTCCATGGTTTACACTAGGGTTCATGCCTGGCGTTGCACATTCTATGGGTTTGGGCAAATGTGTAATGACATTTATCTACCATTAGAGTATCATATATAGTATTTCCACTGTCCTAAAATTCCTGTCTTTTGCTGTTCTCTATGGTTTTGCCTTTTCAGAATATCACATACTTGGAATCCTACACTGTATGGCCTTTTCAATTGACTTCTTGCACGT